TGTTACTGTTTGTTCCTCTCCTTCAGTGTTACTGTTTGTTCCTCTCCATCAGTGTTACTATTTGTTCATCTCCCTCAGTGTTACTATTTGTTCCTCTCCCTCAGTGTTACTATTTGTTCCTCTCCCTCAGTGTTACTGTTTGTTCTTCTTCCTCAGTGTTACTGTTTGTTCCTCTCCCTCAGTGTTACTATTTATTCCTCTTCCTCACTGTTAGTATTTGTTCCTCTCCCTCAGTGTTACTGTTTGTTCCTCTCCCTCAGTGTTACTGTTAGTTCCTCTCTATCAGTGTTACTATTTGTTCCTCTCCATATTACACGGTGGGTTTTGGATGCTGAAATGTTTTCTGCTACAGATTGCAATGTGAATCTCTTACTGTAATTGATGCTGCTGTATCTAGCCAGTTTGGCTGAACAGTATTGATGGAATATGTGATAGGAATCTGCTTATTCATTTGTATCTGCAGGCTTTTTGCAGGAGTTTGAGCAGTGGTTGTGTGATGCAAGGACTTCAGTGAAGGAATGTGGTGACCATTCAGGGGATGCACATATCATCGAGGAGAAACTGCAGAAACTCGAGGTGTGTGAGCCTCCAGTGTACTGACTGTCACCCTGGAGTATTTATATAAGCCATAATTTCAATAAAGTTATTTATTAATGTGCCAGATGGAAGATTCAAACAGTGAGTCTCGTCTGTCATTTAATCCTGACGTTATGAATGAATATTCATGTCACCAAGTGCATGCTCAGCTCGAGGTAATGGTGCTATCCCTGTCCATTCTTACTTCCAGCTTTGATTCTGACATATTTTTCTTATTCACCTGCTGGATGTGGGCATCACTGGCCGGGTCAGCATTTATTGCCCGTCCCTAGTTGTCGTAGGTGCCTTCTTAAATTGCTGCAGTCCACGTGCCCTAGGTGGACCCACAACACCCTTAGGGAGGGAATTCGAGGGAGAATTCTGATGCCCTTTGGGAGGGGCTGGATCGGTTTTTGCTGCTGGACACTTACTCCCAGCCAACACTGAGGGAAAGATCCCTTCCACCTTGCAGTGTCTGTCCCACCACTGCTGTGGCTGCAATTTCCACCTAGACTGGAACTCACTGGGAGTTAAACAGATCTCTGCCTTAGCTATCTCCTCTTATCATTAGATACAAAGTAGGTGGTAATGGAGGCTGGGTGTGAAGGGCAGACGGAAAGAGTTCTAAACTTTATGTATTGCGCCAAAAGTGGCTACCTTCAACTTTTGAGTTTTCTCCCTGACGGGGAAATATAATTCTCGTTCACTCAGCCATTGGCTGGAATTTTATAGACCGCACCGCACCCCCCCCACCCCACCCCACAAACACACACACACACACACACACACACGTTGACAGAGGGGTGTTGGGGCCTGGGTAAAATCCAGGCATCAGTCACCTATTTTTATCAGTTATGTTTGCGAGCTCTGTCAGAGCGTGTTTTACTCTTGGGTTAGTCTCGTATGTATTTTATTGTCCCCTACAGGAATTTCTGACCAGGGCGAGCGTAGGGCAGAACAAGCTGGATGTTGCAGTGGCCGAAGGAAACAAGCTAGTGCCATATTTGCCCAAACCTAGTGCCTCGCAGGTTCAGCAGCAGCTGGCAAACAGCCAAGAGGAATGGCAGAGCTTCCTGAATCAGTGCCAACGGAACAAGAGAACTCTGGCAGACTGTGCAGAAGAGCTGACCAGGTAAGTGTAAGCAATGCATGTGGCTGGGTATAAAGGCCATGTAAGGTATGAGCTGGGCCGCTAAGTCCAGAAGGCTGTTGGTTCAAGCACCCATGCCATCCAGAGGTTTGAATACATAATCTCGTTGAGTGCAGTGCTGAGGGGTGTGCTGCTTTGTCAGAGATGCCGTCTTTCCGATGATTCATGTAGTTGGGGACCGTTTTGTCCCCTCAGAATCCCATGGCACTATCAGAAGTGGAGTTCTTCTACTTATCCCTCAACCCACCATCTGAAAAGCGACTATCTGACCATTAACTCACTGCTGTTGGTGCGACAATGCTGCTTACACGTTGGCTAATGCATTTCCTGACATTACAATAGCGACAACAATACGAAAGGGTTTTGGAGCAGGCTAAGATCATTGTAGAGGGAGGAGGTGGTGTCGCGGGAGCAGTCTCCGGCCTGGGGTAAAAGCAGGGAGTCAGTGATTGAAATCACACTGCAGCAGTTCAGTAAGTTACTCTCAGCAAAGATGCTCAGGAAGCTATTGGGTTCTTGAGGCACAGTGGCAGCGTCCCTACCTGTAGGGCAAAAGACCTGGATTCAGGTCCCGCCTGCTCTAGAGGTGACTCTGAATAGGTTCATTAAAAAATATCACAATAGGTGTTGCATGAATGTTAAGTTTTTAGTTTCTTTATGTGAGTAAAGAACCCAATGAGAGAGGTTCACAGACAATGGGGAATCCTGCCCGAGCAACTGGCTGTGGGGAAATGTACAGAGTGGGGATATTGATCAGTTTTCCTTGCTTAGACACTTGTGTATGTACTCTGCATTGTTCTTTGCTTGCCATTCATTGTCTTGTGTCCCGATGATGTGATTGGCAGTTTCGAGAGCCTTCACAAGAATCTGAGCCTGTGGCTGCAGCAGGCAGAAGGTCGAATGGCCACAGAGTCTATTGGAGAGAACACAAGGAACATCCCCGTGATGCAGGTGGAGGTGGAGAGGATGGAAGATTTCTATGAGGAGATTCAAGGACGCAGGTAGGCAACTTGGATAGTGTGACAAGTGAAAGAATCAAATATTCTTTATCTCTATGATATTGTAGAACACACAGAGCAACATTGAATGCTGTTCCCTGAGGCGAATTTGGAAAAGGAGGTATTTAATCAGTTTGGAGGGGGTGGTATTTAATCAGATTTGAGGATGGTATTTAATCAGTTTGGGGGCGGATGATATTTAATCAGTTTGGAGGGAATGATATTTAATCAGTTTGGAGGGGGTAGAATTTAATCAGTTTGGAGGGAGTGGTATTTAATCAGTTTGGAGGGAGTGGTATTTAATCAGTTTGGAGG